AGGAAGCTGTGGTACATATACACCATGGAATATTACTCAGCCATTAAAAAGAATTCATTTGAATCAGTTCTAATGAAATGGATGAAACTGGAGCCCATTATACAGAGTGAAGTAAGCCAGAAAGATAAAGACCAATACAGTATACTGACAAATATATATGGAATTTAGAAATATGGTAACGATAACTCTATATGCAAAACTGAAAAAGACACACAGATGTACAGAACAGACTTTTGGACTCTGTGGGAGAAGGCGAGGGGGGATGTTTCAAGAGAACAGCATCGAACCATGTATATTATCTAGGGTGAAACAGATCACCAGCCCAGGCTGTATGCATGAGACAAGTGCTCAGGCCTGGTGCACTGGGAAGACCCAGAGGAATCAGGTGGAGAGGGAGGTGGGAGGGTGGATAGGGATGGGGAATACATGTAAATCCATGTATGACAAAAACCACTACAATATTATAAATTAATTAGCCTCCAACTAATAAAAATAAATGGAAAATAAAATAAAATATACTTTAAAAAAAAAAAAAAAACACTTGTTTCCTAATGACAGTACCCTGAAACACACAATTGAATAAATTTTATAACTGTATTGATTATACAAAATAAACTTATGGAACATTAACTTATAGGTAATTATACTGAAAATAGTATCAAATTAAAGAACTTTGTTTTTACTTTTCTCCAAAGTTCCATTTAAGTCAATCTCAGGAATATTGTCCTTAGGGTTTAAGGCAAAGTGCTCTTGTTCCCAACATTCTTCCCCTTAATAAGAGAATTCAGATTTTTAGTAGAACACATGTGCTTGAAATAAAGAAAAAAACTCCTCTGCATTTTGTGATATGGTGTGGTGTGTGGTTTAGTCGCTAAGTCATGTCCGACACTGGCAACCCCATGGACTGTAGCCCACTAGGCTCCTCTGTCATAGGATTTCCCAGGCAAGAACAGTGGAATGGGTTGCCATTTCTTTCTCCAGGGATCTTCTTGAGTCAGGGATCTAACCTCGGTTTCCTGCACTGAAGGCAGATTCTTTACTGACTGAACCACCAGGGAAACCCTTTCCATATTATGGGTAGCCAAACAAATATGTTCTAATCAAAGAAAAATATACAAAGTATTTTGTGAGACTTCCAGATAGGCTCCTTAGAGTTGACACAATTGAGATGGCCCCTTATTTATTATTCTCCCTGTAAAATTGCCCAGAATATGGATGCAATGACTGGAGTGCCACTAGCCACTTGAACCCAGATATTAAATTGAAAGAGAGAGCTATTACCTACCCTCTTCAGTGGATCAATGTAAATTTTAGTGTAAAATAACTGATCATCATCATTATCCTGGAGATTCCACTGTTGAACTATGTGGTTGATATAAGGAGCATAACCAATAAATCCTGCAATAGAGAAGAGAATGAATAGAGGATTTAGAATTTAAAGACCAAAACTCATGTCTGTGTTAATTTCATAGACCAGTTGCATAGATTTGTGAAGCTATTAGTCCTAATCCATAGTTTAGAATTTCACAGCTCACCATGAGAGAAATATGAGTTATTGAGTGTCCTTTGTTTTATATATAAATTCAAATAGAAAAAGTTTTTACTACCCAGTGCAAATAAGACTGTCTTTGAATAAACACATTCCACAAATTAATTTTTTAATTTATTTATTTTTAATTAAAGGACAACTGCTTTACAATATTGTATTGGTTTCTGCCATACATCAACATGAATCAGCCATAGGTATACATATGTCCCCTCCCTCTTGAACTTCCCTCCCACCTCCCACTCCATCCAACTCCTCTAGGTTGTCACAGAGCCACAGTTTGAGTTCCCTGAGTCATACAGCAAATTCTCACTACCTATCTATTTTACATATGGCAGTGTATATGTTTCCATGCTACTACACCCCATCCATTCAACCCATCTCCCCAAATTAATTGATACAAGAGAGGGAACTAATATTTTCAAACACATGTCAGGGGAAAAAAATGTTACTAGGAAAAAGTCAGAATTAGAAGAATTTTCTTTCTTCTGAAATGCTGTTCTTAGATCCTGTGTAAAAGATTCACTGTTTCTGGGGGGGGAAAAAAAAAAAAAACCTCTACTACAGTGGTTTTGATGTCAGTGCCAGAGATGTTAACGCAATCAAAAGAATGTTGGATTTGTCACTGACTGCAAACATCCCAAAGAAATTTTATATCTAGGACATTTTGGGAATTTTTCCTTCACTGAGCTAGTCATTACTATGTCTGCTAAACCATTTTATGGCTAGGTTTTGTCATGGTCTGGAAAAAGGAAGTCTAAAATTGGATTTTTTACCTTGGCCTTAGAGCACAAGGATTAAATATGCCAACAACAGTTGTCTATAAAAGACACAGACAACAGGATCATTTTTCCCTGTGTTTGAGTCTTCCTCTGAATTTCAGAAATGCAGCCAAACGGCTATGTTTCATTGATATGCAATACTTTTCAACAAGGAGCAATTTCACTCCTGAGAATTGAAAAGAAAGCTAACTTATTATCCTCAAAATTAAAATGTTCTCATAGTAATAAAAGAATTAAAAGAAATAGGCAGGAATATTAACTAGAGAAAACAAGACAAAATGAAAACATGACTAAATCAATCACTCGTGGCTCATTTTTTCCTCATTTTTGCCAAATTAGAAAAATCCTAAAACACTGAAAAATATATATTTTTTAACTCTTAAAACAAATCTGTGATTAAAAAAACATGTCTAAGCAGCAACATATGACATTTTCCAATGGTTTATATTACTGTTTTTCAAAAATTATGTTTCCTTATCCTTTTTATAAATTACAAATGTCCTTAAAAATGAGAAGGAACTACTTTTATTTTCATAGCATGTGACATGTAGTTTATGGTTTACATTTTTCTATTAAACTGCCATACTATTTCAGAAGAGTAAAGTTTCTAATATTCCACCATTTTCCTCATAAGGAAACATGTTTACTCTCCATGATGATTTTTTTTAACTAAATGAGGTACACACAAACAAAATTCATATCTCTTAAATAACTCTCTATATAATTCATAAATTTACATAAACTTTATTGAACATACTTAGATTTTCTAGCATTTCTTTATTCTGACTACGGAAAGAATAAGGATGACGTTCTGATATATCTGTCTGATCACTTTTAGGCTTCCCTGGTAGCTCAGATGGTAAAGAATTTGCCTGCAAGGCAGGATACCTGGGTTCGATCCCTGAGTCAGGAAGATCCCCTGGAGCCGGTAATGGAAACCCACTCCAGTATTCTTGCCTGGGGAATCCCTTGGTTAGAGGGGCCTGTGGGCCGCTGTCCATTGGGGTCACACAGAGTCGGACATGATTGAAGTGACTTGGTATGCATGCATGCATTGGAGAAGGAAATGGCAACCCACTCCAGTATCCTTGCCTGGAGAATCCCATGGACAGGGGAGCCTGGTGGGCTGCTGTCTATAAGGTCGTACGGAGTCCGGCAGGACTGAAGCGACTCAGCAGCAACAGCAGCAGCACATGATCAGTTTCTCACTTATAAACACATTCTCCTTAATTAAACTTGCTCTCAAAGGCACTCGCTAGTTTTGCTGTTTCCAAAGTACTGTGCCTCTGTTTGAAATTTAGATTTTCGAGTAAATATTTCACTATCTAGATTTTACATATATTATGTTTCACTAAGCATGTCATTTTTAGAAAAACTGATAAATACAAAGTAAAACTCATCCCAGAATTCCATGGCTAGGTGGCTTTTAATCTATCTAGGACTTAGGGTAAAAAATAAGCCATGTGTCACTGAGGGTCTGACAGTTGGGAGCAAATGGAGCTCTCATTCTCATTTAAAATTGCCCAAACAGAGAAGTCAAGAGCAGGCAGCCATCTTTACTGTAAATCTAAGAGGACAATGTGAACAATATGAGAAACCCTAGGTTCTGACTTGAATGTTGAAGTAAAACCCAAAGATGGTAGGTAAGTTAGGAGAAAAAGAAAATGGTTAGGAGATCCCCAAAACCATGAACAAAAAATGTACTGAAGAGAAAAAAAGTGAGCTGAAACTTGGCAGTACACACTAAGATTTAAGGTTTCAGAAGAGCAAATTTATATGGGCTGACGGAGTTCCAAAGAATCACCATGGAAATGGGTTTCTAAAAGAAAATGCAGATGAGTAGAACTGTAACTAAGTTACTTGTCAAAAGTTTCATATACAAAAGTAACTGAGTGAAGTCTAGAACCCAGATCTACTATCTCAAACAGCACTTATTTGAACTGTCCTGAATACAATCAGTTATTTTATGTAATTTACAATTAAATCTGTTTTCCTAGTGTGGCTTGCAATTTCCACCCAACATAGTTTCTCTGACAAGTTACCTGTCCTATATCCATGTTTTCTGGCCATATTTTTATATTAATCTCAGTCTAAAGAAATAAAATAATGTCTAAAGTCAAACTTCACTTTATTTTTTGATTGGGAGGGGAAAACTTGATCATTTATTTCTTAATTCATTGTGGTATAGCTAAGGCAGTACTTTAAGTTCACCTAGGCACTCAATGTTGAATCTTTTTGACTAGGGATTTCAAGACAAATCATTTACTCCGATATATTTAAAATAAGAAAGTAAAAGTGAAAGAAAGCCAAAATGTTAGTCGCTCAGTTGTGTCTGACTCTTTGCAACCCCATGGACTATAGCCCACCAGGCTCTTCTGTCCATGGAATTCTCCAGGCAAGAATACTGGAGTGGGTTGCCATGCCCTTCTCCAGGGGATCTTCCTGACCCAGGGGTCAAACCCGGATCTCCTGCATTGGCAGGCAGATTCTCTACCATCTGAGTCACCAGCCATTTGTTTAAAATATAGATAAAGTTAATGCCTATTTGTTAAAGCTACTCAAGTGTAGCTTGCACTTTTTACTAAGTAAGGGAATTTACTAAGCCTGTTAACCTAGACCCAGAAAATTCTTAATGAAATTATAGTCAGAAGACCAGAATCCCTGTAGTTTTTCCTTTAATAAATGAATGCCTATTGGAGAAGTCACTTAAATTAGGGAAACACGGTTTTCTCACTTATAATGTAGAAATAATAACGTTTACACATAAATAACATTTACCCTAGTAATAATCCATTACTAGTGTTTTTAGGAGCATCATATAATAGATGAGAAAATGTTTTGTCAACTATAAAATGCACTGTGAATTTAAACAGATACAATTTTTCCATAGTAATAAGAAGATAATGGTTATTTAAAACATATCTATAGTTATATATTTTTTTAAAGGTGGTCTCATCAATATTTTAATCCATGGCTTGCATTATACTTTTCTTCCAGTATCTTACTCACCTCCTGAATTCAGGTAGCGTTTCCCAATGTGCACAATGGGATACTTGTCTGCTAGTCTTTTATCTGGCCACAGAATTCCATCAGCTGCAAAGACCACTTTGTGGTTTGACTTTTGAAACTTTTTTAGAACTTCTTCTGGACCACCAGCAAATATAACATTAAAGCTGTTTGATGAGGGGGGAAAATAAGAAATTTTAAAATACAGTTGTCAAAATTTAGAGATATAAACCAAGAGATTATTATTCTCTAATAAAAATGAGAATTTAGAATCCAACATCAGATTAATTCCAACTATTTGCAGAGTAAACCAAACAAGTTTCCCTCAACTGAAATTATATGGAATGTATTATTAGTGTTTAAGTTACATTGGCAATGAAGTCCAAATAAAAGACAGCTTTTTTAGTATTAGTCTTAATTTTTTCAATAATCATTTACTCTCCAAAATCAAAACTCCAAAAGTGTTGAAAAGTTTAAAATCAGTAACTTGTTGTAGCACATAGTAGATGTGCTATTACTGACAGAGGCTGCCATTGTAACTGCCTAATATTTCTTTTTAATTTGTACTCATCTATATAATAATTTTTGCAGATTTCATTACCTTTGACAAAATGTTTCTACGTACTAAATGTCATCAGTATAAATTTAAATTCGAATCACTATTTAGCCTGAAGTCCTAAAATAAATGCATACAGACGTGTATCTTTTTAAAGCCCAATATATTTTAAAATGTTAAAAATTAAATTAATAGTTTCATTGATTCTTCTGAAGACTGCATTACCCACAGTTCATCCATAGAATCACAATGACTTATAATATGAAATGCAACACACACTACCTGTTTCCTCTCTGCAATAAGTTCTCTATTCTTGCCACTACCACAAATTCTTCTGCATCTTTTTTAACATTAGGGTACCTCAAAACCAAAGATGATACTTTCATGACTTGACATCCCAGGTGGCAAGCAAGAAGAGTAAACAAATGCTCTTTAATTCGGCACCAGGCCTTCCTAATAGCCAGTAGTTCAAATGCACTTCTGTGATACTTGGAGTGGTGCAGAGGCAGGAAGGGGATACCAGCAAGGAAGGATTGAGGAAGTTGTTGGGTTTTTTTATTTTTTTCTTTTTGGCTACACCATGCTGCATGCAGGATCTTAGATCCCCCACCAGGGACCAAACCCATGCCCACTGCAGTGGAAGTGCACAGTCTTAACCACTGGACCACTAAGGAAGCCCCTGCTATGATATTTGAATTGGGGAGTAAGGAGGCTGTTCCTCACACTTTGCCAGACTTGCTCTTGAGGAGTTTTTTAATATGCTAACATAGTAGTATGTATCAGGCAACATTTATTAACTTTCTGTACATGAATTTGGGCTTCCCCCCATGGTTCAGCTGGTAAAGAATCTGTCTGCCAATGCAGGCGATGCAGGAAACATGGGTTCAATCTCTGGGTCAGGAAGATTCCCTGAAGAAGGAAATGGCAATCCACTCATGTTCTTGCCTGGAAAATTCCATGGACAGAAGAGCCTAGCTGGCTACAGTCCATGAGGTCGCAAAGAGTTGGACATGACTGAGCACACATGCCTATACATGATTTATTTCATCAAAATAAAACACCATTTCTCATATCTATAGAAGCAAAAATCCAATGAAACTTTTAAAAATTACTTTAGCAAGAACACACATGTGGAAGAGATGCTGACTTCCATCTACACTCCTGTGCCTTTATTTTAATAATGGAATCCCCGTATGTTAATTGGGCACATGGCTAAAGACTACTCTGAAGCCTGACCATTACACATGACCAAGTCTGTCCAGTGGAATGTGAGTGGAACTGGTGTGTTCATACAACCTCCAAGTCCTGGGCTTTAAAAAGGAAGCTGCCTACCCTCTGTTCCTCTTTCCCTTTCATGGTGAAACAGGCTTTACAAATAAAAATTACTTGACATACTCACTCCCACCAGATAGTCCACTTCTGAATCTTTTTTTTTTTTAAAAGAAGATTGAAATGTTGCTAATGTGAAACTAAATTTAGCAATTATGCCTAGGCAATTTTTAAAACTTAGTAAAAATAAAGTTGAATTCAGAAGAGCTACACCATTTTTTTCATTCTAAATTGTCCTAGAGAATTTAAATTTTATCATTGCTTTTTATGTTACAAAAAAACTTCAAAATTAAAACATATCTATCTATATATATACACATATGTATATATATATACACACACACACACAAACATATTTGACATATAATTTTGTCTTTCTTTTAGGATCAATGGGTAGAAAATTTTTAATACTGTTAATAATATAATCATAAAGTGATTCAGTTCACACAATCTGAAGTCTAACAGATGGGTTTCTAATTATAATTCCAGCTCTATCACTTGCTATCTGAGTAACAATAGGAAAGTTAGTAACAAACTCTTTATGCTTCTGTTTCTTTAAGCATAAAATGATGGGGAAAGTAGTGCTTATATCTCATCAAGCTATTGTTACAAAAATTAAAAATTAGCACCACAATAATCTTTCAAAAAAGTTAACAAAATTAACATTTTTTTTACTATAGGAAAGGAACCTGAAGAAATGAGAGGTAGGACAAAAACTTACTTTTAAATTTACACAAGCCTGTACTTTTAAATAATTTTATTTTCAGCCAAATACACATTTTAAGATAAATTTTAAATCAGAATAAATTTGTTCTGACTAAAACCTCAAGCCAACTCCCCTCCATGTTTATTTGAAAAACTGAATTAATCTAACTTCACAAAATATTTATATAAATATATCATTTCTCTTTTTCTTATAAACAAGTACAACTGATTTCATAAGTATGACCACTTTAGATTTCTGCCTTGTAGGATAACCCTATCTTTTCTAACAGGGTATTTTCCTCCAGACTAATAGTTGCTGGTATAATTTTCTTTTTTCAAATACTGAAAATTAGGAAATAAAACTAGCTTTATAAGACCAGTTACCAGGGTAACTAAGCCCTGAGAGGTAAGGGAAATAAAACAAACCCTCTGAGGTACAGGACCCCATAAATTGTCTGAAGAGATGGATAAAAAGAGCTCTTTATGTCAGAGAATCATGTGATTGGAGACTTGGACCAAACTGATTCAGATATTTTGCAGGTAGCATCACGTATTCAAGCTTTCCTGGTGGCTCAAAGGTAAAGAATCTGCCTATCAATGCAGGAAACATAGGTTTTATCCCTGGGTTGGCAAGAGCCCCTGGAGGAGGCCACAGCAACCCACTTCAATATTCTTGCCTGGGAAATTCCATGGATGGAGGAGCCTGGCAGGCTACAGTCCATGGAGTTGCAAAAGAGTCAGACACAACTTAGAAACTAAACAACAACAAATAACATGTATTTGAAGTTATAAAGGTACAGTTGGCAAATGATTGTTTTGTCTTTTTAACACCAGCGAAGGACTTAATATCTCCACAGTATATCTCAAACTATTAGCAAAAGTCAACAGCTTGAAAAGGAGGAGTTGTGGGCAACTTGTACTCTGATAATTTAACAATTTTATAAGTAGGCATTACCTTTATAACAAAAAGCAATTCCTATAGATCAAAATGTAAAAGGCAAAAATTCTCTTCACATAATTCAAATAAGGATTTGACTTTGAATAAAAATTTAAGGTTGTTGAAACTTTCTCACTTCATTCTAGTAGCACTGCTATTTCTGTGTTGAAGTACTTTTAAAAAGTTTTTTTGAACGGATTTAAAACTTTTCAAAGGGCAAGAAAGTTTTTCTACTTAAAATGATGTTGGTCACATCAACTCAAAAGGTCAAACTTTTTTAAAAATGCCCAAAACAGTCATAAAAATAATGCTCATAGGAACTTGATACATTTAAATGTGAAGAATAAGATAAAACTTTCCACAGTTCACTGTGGTAAATATTCCTGAGTCCTGCAAAAACCATAAAGTTGTCACCTTATGTGGTCATACTGAGTCCTCTACCAGACACGTCAGTGTTCTATCTCAGACAGGTCACTGAAACTTTTACAAGCATTTGTCCTTCTGCATTCCCTGTTTCTGTGGCACCATCAACCATACAGTCACTAAAGTTGAAAATCCTTTATTCAGCCCTGCCTCTTCCCTTTCCATGGCCTCTCTCATCAAATCTTTCTCCATAACCCATTGATTCCATCTACTTAATCTATTTAGAATTTAAAGCCTCTCCACTGCCACTAGAAGACGCTGGACTAGACTAATTCAAAAACCTTATAAGCCTCCCCATCACCCATCCCCTCCAACAAGGACCATCTGACAAACTCTCCTGAAAGCCTTTCTGTGCCAGTCCCTTGACTGGATCAGTCCCTTGACTGGATCAGAACTATGGTCTAAAGTGGGACTTAGCAAATATTTACTATCTAGCCTTTTAGAGAAAATTGCTTAGGCTTTGAGGGCAATATGGTCTCTGCTGGATGACTCAACTCTGCCATTGTGGTACAACATAGCCATAGGCAATATGTAAATAATTGAGCACACTTGTGCTACAGCAGAAGTATTTACAGAAAAGAGCCTAGGCCAGATCACAGCTTACCAAACCCTGGCCTGTAAAATAAAATCTAAATGAATCAGACTCACATTAACTTTCCATTAAATAATCTGTTCTGAAGTCACACTGAATTATTTGATCTGTCTTCCATGTCTTTAATCATAATGTTTCATCAGCTTAGCACATCTTTTCCCAATCGGATCCAAACAACTCACCCTCATCCAAATCTCACCTCCTCTACAAACCTCTACGTGAGCAGCATAAATGGAAAAGATCATTTCTATCCTCTTAATCCCCACGACTCTTTTCCTCTCTTTTTCCACAGAATGTGTCATTTTCTATTTGTCATGGACAGGGAAGACTGGCGTGCTGCAGTCCATGGGGTCGCAAAGAGTTGGACACGACCGAGTGACTGAACTGAACTGAACTGAACTTCATGCTGGCGGTGACTATTTATACTAGACTACATTGTCTTCCTTCACATGCCAAATACACCACTTTATTTATCTGTGTATTATTCACCTAAGAGAGGAAAACAACAGAAGTGTTTCCTAATCTTATTTGTTCCTCCCCAACCCACACTTTATTCATCATCACTGATATAAATTTAAGCCAAAAGTTATGATTATTTAAACTATTAGCAGCTGGTTTTTAAAAG